CTTTTCCACATATATATATTATTTATTTCTTTTTACCATTTTTTCTTTATGTAATTACCTTTTATCATATGTAGGCCAAAATTCATACCAGTCTTCTACTTTTAAAACATAAAAAAAAGTTAAAGCTAGTAAAATATTCTATGTGCTAAGAAAATGTTTGTGGATTTTGTAGATAAAATAACGCATTAAAAATGCATTTTAACTTCAGACTACAACTTTAACATAGCAAAACAGTCGCATATATACCTAATATTGCCATTAATTAGTTCTCTAGAGTAACTTTATTCTCACAGGTAGCATTTTGCTTTTACAGAAACTGTAGGCCAGCACCACCTAAAAATGCACAGAACAATTTCCTCAGGTGACAAAGAATAAAAATCTTCAGTGTTCTGGGGAATAAGGTGAATTTACCTTAAGCTTCAGCAATTGCTACCAAAAAAATTGCTAAGTAATCTGCCATTAGCAAAGGCCTTTTTGTTTTTCTCTTGATTATCTACAGTCTTCATTATCCCACCTAAAAACATTTTAAGACACCTATGCAAATGCTTTTCAGGAACCCATCAACCCATTGGGAATTTCAATTTTGGTTACAAAGCCCCCACACAAGCTGCATATTATTTCAAGCTTCTTACATCATTAGCCTGTTTCAAAAATATTGGTATTACTGAAAGGTTTAAAACATCAAGACAAAACTTGCAATACAGAAACTGAAACACTGAATAGTCTAATATAGGGGCCCCTTCTGTACGTTCTGAATGCAATCACATCTCCCACGATGGCAGATTTCCCGTTAGCAGGAATAGCTTCCACTGATGAAGAACGGCTATTCAATAAGCAGGACACAATATATATGTTCAGCAAATCTATACTCAAGGTGACACTGACTTCCACACAGTACAGCAATGCAGAGGCTTGAAAAGCGTCTCCTGCTTGCAGGGAGATATCAAAAGGAATAATCCAGTGCTATTTCCACTATTAACCACCAAAAGAAAGCCTCAACACTCATCAGAAAACTCCCAAATCCTAAAGCGTGCATGTAACATGGAGTGGACAGCAGCAATTGTGGTATCTTTAAACACTCTTCAGCCCTGCTGGCTGATTCTACGTTAGACATACCCCTGGTGCAGCTGAATGAAAAATGTTGTAGTGTGTTAACAGGTAAGGTAGGCTATAGGTAATTCCACAAACACTACAGAATTTATGATTTATTAAGCTTAAAAATGTAAATACTGTATATAGAGAGCTGCAGTCTTGTGGGCTTCATGCTGCACAAAATTGCTCAGAGCATGAGCTGTACATCCGAGGCCAAGCTTGGCAGGTGGGACAGGGAAACACACTTCAGTCTCACAGCTCTGAACCCTGCCCCAGCTTCAGTGATTAAGACTAATCCCTCCCTGATGAATTTGCAAACCTATTTGATGGTTTCCATATACACATATGCTGCATACACACAGAGTGCTCCATGCAGGCAGGACAGGGCACCTCCCTCACAGGAAGCATCAGTGAAAGAAACCCGTTTGGGCTCCAAAAACCCCAGCGCTGTTACTTTTAAAGGCATTCCACCACACAATGAAGAAATTCACTGTGGAAACAAAGACCCTTGTATTGACGCTGTACTACCTAGCACACGATATCACTGTTGTTGCTCTCTCACACTCAGAACCACACCACAATGTGGCCTTCACATGCACTCGGCACTCAATGGGACAGCGTCAGGGAGCTGAGCAGTTTGGGGGTGCATGGCCCAGAAACAGGAGCCATGGGAAGCCTGTAAGAGCTGCCAGTAAAGCCAGTCCTTAAGACCAAAGGAGAGAAATAGCTGCGTGCAGATAAAGAAGCCTGCACAAGAGAACAGCGACTGAGGCTGCGAGGGTGCTGACCTGAGCATCTGGACTGAAGAAACTCAGGCTCCTTCAGAATTGATGTTATTTTTCTGCAGGACTCAAGGTATGCAATGAACCCTCCAAAATACACTTGCTATTGTATGTGTTAAATATGTAACAACTTCTGCTTCTAAGAAACATTTAAAGCCTTTTTAGTTTACATTCCAGTGTGTGGAGGGCGTCCCTGCAGCACAGCAGCTCTTTTATTTATATGCTGCAAAATATTCAAGAATTCAGAATGTAAGGTGCAGAATCCATGAAGATGAGACCTTTTACACCAAAGACCCAGAAAAATGCCAGTTAACATATCAGTTAGAATACAGATCATTATTATATAATATAGATTACATTGTGATATATTTGAAGCACTAAGTATAAAAGAGTTGACTACACCTATAAAATAGAAGTCTGAAATATTTCAGTGCTAAATAACTCTGTTTATGAAAGAGGAAATCTTATTCAGAGTAAGCTTCAAAAAAAATTTTGATCTAACTAATAATTTTGTAGAACAAATATAGAGACCAACGTGTATCTCTGCCACTCTTCCACGCATTACTGTCATGTCTATTATCCTGCTACACGTAAATATTGTTTATCCATGTTCAATTTTCCTTTCTCAAAGATTTTAGATTTTTCTTTTCAGACAGTCAAAACTATTTTACCTTTTGCACTTGTCACGTATATTCACAAAAGAAATAGTTTGCATTTATACTAATCTTTGTTGTTGTTTTTTTATATACTTAGCTTTGTTTTGAAGCAGAATTCTTAAGTTTATCTGACACACATTCCGATGGTAAGCTTTATCAGAAGTTTGAACTTCATTCAGATGTTTATTTTAAAAGATTTCAGCAGCCACACAGCTTTGTTTAGATGTGAACTTTCTTCCCATTCCAGATTCTCTCTCCTGCTATCATCTCCCATCAGACCATCACCAAGAATCTTTTTGCAGACATTTTTCCACAACTCCATTCATCATCCTGCACCTATTCTGAAGTTGCAGTGCGTGTTATGGGGAATTTTTGAGTACAAGAAAGTTTAAGCTCACTTTCTAAATTTTAAACTATTTTAAATTATGAACAAGTAACCATGAAATGCATCTGCTGTTAATATAGATAAACTCTAAGCTAAAACCTAGAGGATTATCTATCTTCAGGCAAATAGTCCTACTTTCTAGTCCCATCACCAAAGTTGCTGTAGTAGTTGATCTCCAGTGCTTTATTCTTAGCTAACAAAGGATGTGGAACCAGAGAGATGCACCACGTCTGACTCAGATACCTACAAGGAGGTAACTAATGCTGCCCGCAGTGCCACGCTGTGTCTGATGGGTGACACGGGATGTAGCAGAAACTCCCACCACTCTGAAGTGGGGGTGAAAAGCCAGGTGGGGCAACTCAGGGCATCAAGGGATACCAGGAGGCTTCATTGAGGAAAATCAAACCACTGGGTATTCCCACAGTCCATTTGCTCTCCCCACTGCTTTCCTCCAAACTGAATCCCATCGAGGTGACAGCACCACAAACAACGTGCAATTTTATTAACTGCTATCTCCCTATAGAACTTGTCAAAAACCAAGAAAAATGTTCTTCAGATAATCAGCAAACAGGCAATTGAATGGTTATAAAATACAGTTTGGTTAGGGAAACATGCCAGAAATTTGGGTCCAATATCACTTGGAAAATTAAGAGGTTGTGGTACTGAATTTATAGCATGTGAACAAAACACAACACTGGTAATGATATCAAGCGCAAATTAAAGGTAAAGTAATACTCTGCACTGTGAAATTAAAATATTCATTTAATTCAATGTTGAAGTGTTAATCTTGACGCTGAACTAAGCAGTTGATACAAAATCTTTTGTGTTGGGAAGAACTTCCAGCAATGCTCACCGTCGAAATGGAGGTCAACATTAGATCATAAAGTCATTTTCAAGAATACTGAGCTAGTTTAATAGCAAGACGCAGAGACGTACACAAGCCACCACTCCTTCACGTAAACATCCTGAAAATGTTGGATTCCACTTCAGTGGCCACATTAAAGCGCGTTACGTGAAGGTGAGTGGACAGGATCAGAAACAAAGAGCTGCTTGCAAACCTGACCGTACGCGGTCCCACTCATCTTCAAAGACCTCCCCACGCATCCAGGGCTGGCAGTATCTGCCAGCAAGGTATCTGCAGCCTGGAAAAGGTCCCTTTTCACTGCGTGGGGGTTGAGTTACAGCCCTGTCAACTTTCACGCTGTTTATAAACTTACATTGTAGTTTATTTCAGCGGCAGTGGAGCCCTACTCTATGCCTTTGCTTTTAGCTGCCCTGTCTTCACATCACCTTCTCGTGGTATCGGTGCTCCTCAAATGTCACTTGACAACAAAATACGTGGCGGATGAAAAGGAAATAAAGAAAGAGTTAGCACGGAATTAGGTTGTGATGGTGTAACGTGATAAAACAGCACAGTAAGGTTGGAAAAAAAAAGAAAAAAAAAAAAAAAAAAAAACAGTGAAAACGATCGGCTAGAAACACAGAAGCAGCAGTCAACTTTTTGACAGTTCAATGGGGTAGAGGAGCGGGCAGAGGTCGGGGGAGGGCTCGGCTCCTTCGGCTCGGCGCTGCTCCGCCGGAGCGCTGCGAGGCTCCGCGAGCAGCCGTGGGAGCGGGGACCCAGCCCGGCCCCGCAGCTCGGCGGTGCGGGAGCGGGGCGAGATCCCCGCCCCTGGAAGCGGCTGCTCCTTCCCTCGGCTCCCCGCAGCGGGGGAGCTGAAGCCTCCTCCCGGCTCCTTCCCCCGGCTCGGGGAGCTGCCCCCCGCCGGGTGCGGGACGGGGAGGGCCCCCTTCAGCCCTTCGCTCGCCCCGAGCCCGGGGGCAGCGCGGCCACCTCTGCCCGCCCGTCCCCGCCGCCTCTCGCAGCGGAGCCCCGAGGGCTGTGCGAGCGGTCAGCGCCTCTGCCCCGCGGGGCGACCCCGGGCAGAAGCCGCCCGCATCCACCGCCCCGAGGGAACATCCCTCGGCCGCATCCCGCCGCTCAAGGTCACCTCAGCGCGGGGCTGCCCCTCCCGGGGGTCGCCGCTCCCCGCAGCCCCCAAGCAGCGCCGGTAGATCCGGGCCGCGCCGGGCTCCTGCTCCTACCTGAGCCGGCGAGCGGAGCCGAGCCGAGCCGAGCGGAGCCGCCGGGAGCGCGGAGGCGGCCGCTGTCCCCTCAGCAGCGGCGGCGGCGCCCGCGGAGTGGGGCCGCGCACGGCGCCTCCCTCCTGCGCCGGGCCGCTGCGCTGCGGTGGGCGGCGGCGGCGGCGCTCCGTCAGACTTAGCGGGGCCGCGGCGAGCGGGGAAGCCCCGGGGGTGGGGGGGGGGCGGGCAGCGCCTCTCCCCTCCCCGCCGAGGTGCCGGCCCCAGCGGAGCGGAGCGGAGCCTCCCCCGGCAGGGCTGGGGCTCCCCTCAGCGGGGAGAGGCCGGCGCCGCGCCCGGCTCCGCCGCGGCTGCAGGGGGCGCGCAGCGGCGACCCCCGCTCGGCGGGCTCGGCCCCGGGCTCCCGGGTGGGCGCCACTCAGGCCCCGCATCCCCGCGGAGGGAGGGGAGCCCTGGGGGATGCGGGGGTCCCTCAGCTTTCACCGCTCGTCACGGTGCTGACGTTCGCCTCTCGCAGCCCCGGGGGCTCCCAAAATGTCAGGGGACCGGTGAGGGTGGCTCTGAGCTCAGCGAGCGGGGCTTGAATCGTATCTGTCAACAGCAAAAGGTCCCCACCTCGCGCCTTCTGTTCCCTCAGCGCTCACAGATTTCTGTCAGAATCCTCCACAAGACGCGAGAAGGCCTCACCCTGACCGAGAGAAGGAGGCTCTGGCCCTGGGGCACAGCACCTGTCAAAGATGCCCGAGGTTCGTTCCCACTTCATGAAGGAGTTGACGTACAGATTGCCTACATGAAGTAAACTGAGGAACTAGCACTCCAGTGTGAGGAAATTAGTGCCCCCCAAAGAAAAAAAAAAAAACACGTGGATTTAAGATGCTTCTTTTCTTCACAGCATTGCAGAATGGCATCTTTGAAACATTTCTAGAGCGATTAAAGTGGGTTATTTAACCAAACCTTCCTGATGTTATACATAGACTCAGATTAGATTTCCTAAAAATTCTGCTATGACAAAAAGTCTTGCCACCACAAGAGTTAAAACTACCCACCAACCATCTCCAAAGCTGAACTGAAATAGAGAGAATTTGGAAGAGGAGACAAAAAAAAAAAAAATGCTTGGTTGGTGCTGTGGACTTGTGTTTGGTGTAAAAGATTCATATCCATTGCATAACACCTACAGACTGCTACCGCAGACAACACTAGCATTTTATGTGGAAAAGTGGAACTCTTCCACCTCTTTTTACTGGTAAATAGCAGTGCTGGCCAGCCCTGGTTGTTTGAGAGACGATACGATGTTAATTATATTCTGATTCTTATCTTGGCTTCTTCCTCAACGCCATTTAAATTCCAGTCTTAACCTTATCTCAGCAAGAACTTAGGAAAAAGTAGGACAGCCAACAGAACAAAAGTACAAGTCCCTCCACATCTTTTCAAACGACTTCTAGCTTATTTGATACTAGGAGAAGCTGTAACCAGAAGCTGTAATCTTTGTAGTAATTTCACACAAATTAACAAAATACAAACTTGTAGTTCTCACAAAGTTCAGTCATCACCTTTGGAAAACTTCAGAAACCTGTACGTATTCTGCAAATATCTAGATTAGTTCTCTCATTTGATCTTAAACCACATGCTTACTGTCAGCTGCACATCAACAGTTTCTGGTGCTTTCCCTGATACATCACTCAGTGTCATCACGAAGATCAAACAAACTGAGAAAACCTAACCAAAAATAGCAACATTTCTGTTTTGACAATGCTTGGAAAGATGGCTGAAAAGGCCTGAATGAAGTGTTTACAAAAATAATCGTGCAAACATTAGGTAAATCTGGAGCTATTTTCTGCTTGTGCTTATTAATCATTTAAAGCAGATGATTGGAGTACCATTTGAAAGCGTTAGGTGTGCATTCTTACTTAGTGCAGGCAAATACATTTGACTAATAATTCTGCACTGCATAAAACCATCACATCCTACAGACTATTTTCACAGAAATGTAAAAATTCCCCACACAACCTTACACTGTTAAACATAAAGGACCACAGAGCAGAGTTCTGGGTTCAAATATTATTCAGGTCAGCCTCTGAGCATATGACTTGTCTCATCAGAACATCCACAGCTGGTCAGCTACTGCAGCTGGGACTAATAACTGCAGAGCAGAACAAACAATATCTTAAGATATTCAGTCCCTATGACTGATTTTTAAGTGATGGTGAAATAGCAAAATTGCATGGCTCTTTATCATTTGTAATAAACAACAGAAGACAGAGAAACATTTTTTGTTTATTATCTTTTGCCTATGAAAATCTTTTCCTATGAAAACATATGTTATATATAATTTCTGACAGCTTTAGAAGCTACCCTACGCTCATTTTTATAGAGAATACATGGCATTTTTTAGTGTCTCTCTTTTTCTTTGGAGATCTTTTTCTTGTACTATAGTATTTCTAGGAACTTAACCTATTACATAGAGATTTTAGTAAAACTACAAGATAAAGCATGCAGTTAACAGCTTCAACTAATCTCCTATAATTCAACACTTCAGACAATTCCCATCGTGGTTTTCCCTAAATTTCTTAAATTACACATTCTCTCAGGTTTAGGTATTCCTTTAAATTCTTTCTCATTTCCCTGTTTAACCGGGGAACATATGCATAGTGGAGGTTATCTACTTGGTTTAAAAAATGTGAAGGTGCACCTTTACCTGCAGTCATCAAACTCGGTGGTACTATGCACGCCTTAAGTCTGAATGATCTAATAATGAATTATACTTGTCAGACAGTTCTTCTCAGGTTTCAGCTTCATGTTATTTTCACAACCTACAGCTTAATCTCCACACTACCAAAACAGAGGAGGAATTTCAAGGACATTTCAGAAAGGAGGGGATAATGGGTGCCAATTCAATAGCTTACAGTTTGGCTGTAATTATATAAGAATGAAATAGCTATTCTTTTATTTCAGTGTACTTTATGAGATTTCTAAAAATAATGTATGTATATAAAGCATAACAATGATGAAATTTTCTAAAAATAATGTATATAAAGCATAACAATAATGTGTTCATATCATATATCCATAACACCTTCCACTCCAAGGAATCCGTATGCACTTAGAGAGTTTACCTTTGAAGTGTTGCTGGTGCCAAATGGCAACGCTAAGAATGGAAGTGAAGAATACTTGATCTGCCAAAAATGTAGTAGTACATACATTAAGAGAGCAAAGTACGATCGTAAAACCTGTCATCATTCTTCACAAAGCAGGCAAAAGTGTTTTATGAGGAGTCATTACACAACAATACAGGACTTTTTGAAATATGAGGACTCAGAAGGATATTTGCAGGACCAGTATTTGACTTACAGCCTTGAAGTGCTACTCTCATAACAGAGTTAGACGTTTGATTACGAGAACGTTCAGACACGGTCTTAGTTGCTCTTAAGAAAAAACTCTCATGGTATCATATGCCACCAAGCTATGGCATAAGTCCAGTATCTGATACAGTAGAAAGCATATCCCCGTGAATCACCAGTGTGATCTCCTGCGGTAATTTCACACCCTCACATCACAGTCTCCCACTCAAAAAACAACCAGTCCTGCATCTCTATTGTTCTTAAGAGCCAGAGTAACGACAGACAAAGGCTATGACAGTAACACGTTTTCTGGCAGTAACACGTTCTCTGGCATTGCCATGAAGTTGTATAGCAGTCAGCCTGTCACAGTTCTGCATGAAGTTGCTTTTCACATTTAACATCTGAATGTCAGACACTGCTGGGAAAGACTAGAAGATAACAGAATTATGATCATCACATTGTTTGGGAAAAAAATATATATATATTACCAGAGGATTGTTAGATGTATTGGGTTATTCTGCAGCTCTTATTTCACAGTTCTAATTCAGCATCAAAGCAAGAAGAGCTGGAGTCTAGTGCAAAATGCATATTATATGTATACCTACATGAAATGTCCTTGCTTCAGCTGTGCTAAACGTAAGGGGACTTTAACCTCCGTCTGAATTGAGTAGCAACTGCATAGGACAGACACAGGGTCTGAATGAAGCTCCCGTTTGCTGACCCTGTTAACATTTGTGACTCTAGAAAATAAATCTGGTGCTTCCCTGGCAAAAGGTATTCTGTAACTAAGTAATTTGTTAAACCTGATAAAAAGTTGGTAATTTTGCACGCAAAAGCACTTAGAAAAAAAATATAGAAGGACAGTTTCTATGACCTTGATAACCTGGTGGTAGCGTCCATATCATCTCTGTTATAAACAAACAGGCAAGCCCACAAGAAAGGAAAAAAAAAATAAAAATCACAACAGCAACAAAGAGTTGGAAGAATATGGCCAATGGAGAGAACATAATACAGTGATTATATCTTTTCTGAAAGGACCACAAGTGAGTTTGCCAGATGTATAATCTGACTTTTCTCAGAATTGAATGTTAAATTACAGCAACAGTTCAGGACAAAGATAAGTTTTAGCTAGTTTAAACTAGTTAAAATGCCCATCTCCTTTATCACAGCTCTTTTCTTTTAAATTTTCTACCTTATTTCTGTAACTAAGTAATTTGAAACTATTTTCTACCTTGATGTTGTGTTCCAAGAAATATATTGATAGAGTGAAGTAGGCAATGGTTTGCATAATCGTTAGCACTAGCAGCAAAGATTTTGAATAGGAAGGATAATTAAATCGTTAGACATGGGATGTGGGTAAAGAAGCAGGACTAAAATTCAAAAAAACAGTGAAGACATAAAGCAGCATCTAAAGGTCAGTGCTGGAAAACAAGCTGGCTACTGGCAAACTTGTCTCAACATTCCCATAAATTAAAAGTCAGTCCTCGCTTTCTACAGCAGCTTCCCAAGGGGAAATAGAATCATTGATTTAAATACGAGTTGTCCTCTGTGGTTTCAGTGGAAATTTCCAGGATAAATATTACACAAAATCCCTAAAAGAAAATATTTATCAATAACAGAATTCTTGTTGCAAATAAAGATGGATTTAGCAAAGCAAACATAGAATCTACAAATGGTCCCAATGGTCATTGTATAAATACCATGTTTAGCTTGCTGATGTTTGGGTAAGAATGATTCATTTGCTTTGAGAATAATAACATTTTAGAATATCTTCTAAAGACTGAAGTTACATACATACCATTTTGTTGGAAGCCCCTTACCTTTTGTATTTAAACTCTTAATGAAAAACATCACAA